TCTTAAATTTGAGTAGGTGAAACCTGCAGGAACCCTGTCTCTCTCTCTCTCTCTCTGTCTCGCTCGCTCACAGAGGCTGTGTGCTCCTCCGTGGCGATGACGGCTTGTGTTAAAAAATAATAATAAACATATTTGTAAAGTGGGGGGACACAAACGGGATTTCGAAAAGTGGGGGGGGGGGGGCATTTCCCCCCTGTCCCCAGTGGAAATTACGCCATGCGTGTGTGTGCGTCAAGTGCAATAAATATGCAAGTTGCAACACACAGAGTAAAACTCTGCCCCCCATGTGCTGTATAGGCTGGCATGATAGGCTGTTCAATGGGGCTGATGTGATGTGTAGATTCTGCCAGAAGGAAAATCACGGTGACACTCCTTATGAAGCGGTGAGCTGCCGCTCCACATTGCTTTTCTTCCCGACTGCAACGCTGGTCCCGCAAATCAAGCAAAAACGTTGTTTTGTGTATTTTTTACATTTTGGATTTGCTTGGCGAGCTATTTTCAGAACATGCCCTGCGGGCGACTCACGTTGCCCCTGCGGGCGACTCACGTTGCCCCTGCGGGCGACTAAGTGCCCGCGGGCACCTTGTTGGCTACCCCTGCTCTAGACGATCAAAAGGATGTTATCTCTGGCATTGTCCTTCTCTCTTTTTCTTCACTTCCCATTAGTTTATCTTTGGCATCTTCCCTCATCACCTAAACCCTTTGTTCCTGTCGTCGTCTCTTCTCCATCTCTTTCCTCTGCTCCTCTGCACCCAGGCACCCAGCAGTGGCACGTGAAGCTCGAGGCGGCTCAGAATGTTTTGCTGTGTAAGGAGATCTTCGCCCAGCTGTCCAGAGAAGCCGTCCAGATTAAATCCCAGATCCCTCACATCGTTGTGAAGAATCAGATCATCTCACAGCCCTTCCCAGGTCACAATGTTGATGACATGTTTTGTTTGACGTTTTCACTGGAACATCAATGTTTGTTGCCTATAAAACATTGACGTGTATCACTATAGCAGTGTTAATTTCGTCAACGAAAACTATGACGAAAAATGTTCGTCAATGACCTTTTTTACATGACTAAGACGAGACGATGACGAGCTAAAAATAGATTCTTGATAACGAAAACTTTGACGAAATGTATATTTAGTTTTCGTTGACGAGACGGGACGGGACTAAGGTGTTAATGGTGGACTATCGGACATTCAAAATGCAGGGTATTTCCCCCCAAGTGTCCGTCTTGTCTGTCAAAATGCATCTTACGTTTCTAACTTGCAATATCATTATTTCCGCTCTCTTCACTCCAGAAGAGCGATCTCTCTGTGTGCGGGGGGCGGGGCCTCACTCTCTCTCTCTGTGCGGGGGGCGGGGCCTAACAGACACGCTGCAGCGGCACACAGAGATCTGCCGGGGACGGAGCGTTCAGAAGTATAGAGACACTCTACAAGGCTCGATGTGGACAAAGCTCGTTTGCCATTAGTGTTTTCGCGTTAGCGCGTTGACACGAGTAGAGTAGTCTGTCCAAACAGCCGGCCAAAAGGCGTCATATTCAGTCGGAGAAATGCACAATGTTCGACTTCCTTAACTCGTAGCTCTGTTGCCCCAATTTACGAGTAACGTTATCACATCAGGTGTGCAGAGGTGGGAGAAGTACTCAGATCTTGTAAAAAAATACCATAGTGTAGAAAGAGTTCCTCAAGTAAAAGTATGATCATCAAAATATAGTTAAAGTAGCGACAGTAAAAGTAGTCATTGTGCAGATTGGTCCATTTCAGAATAATATATATGATATGTTTTATAATGATTGATCATGAAAGTGTCCTCAAAGCTGGTAAAGGTGCAGCTAGTCTGAATGACTTTGTATACTACAGGGTAGCTTGTGGATTTACTCCAGGTGGAACTAAAGTCTGATTTAACACTTGATTATATTTCACCATCATTCATCCAGATCTGTAAAGTAACTAAAGGTATTAAATACATGTAGTGGAGTAAAAGTACACCATGTACCTCTGAACTGTAGAGGAGTAGAAGTACACGGTAGCAAAACATTTAAATACTCCAGTAAAGTACCTCAACATTTTACTCAAGTACAGAACAATATTTTAACATAATTATATATATTTCATTTATTTCACATTTAAATAAAGCAATTAATTCGGTTAACAATTTGTTAGTTTTTCCCTTTAAAAAATAACAAAAAGTAAATACAAGAATACCGTTAAAGTACCCAGGGTGCGTACGGGTGCTGGAAATCCTTGAAAATGCTTGAAATTGTACGAGGTGTTTTCAAGGTTTGAAAAGTGCTTGAATTTTGGGAATGGTGCTTGAATTTGGGATAAAGTGCTTGAAATTGTAAATGCTTTACTTCGCTTTTTAGATTAAAAGAAAATAAAGAAGTCGGAGCGCGCTTAATTGCTTCGCTTTTACATAAAACAGCTCCGCTCCGGCCTTCCCGCGCAATGCGCGTGACCGGCAAGTGTTTTTGTTACGTGTGTGACCTGGGGCCTCATTTATAATGCCTTGCGTAGGATTGACGTAGGAAGGTTGCTTACGTAGTACAAAGCACAAAAATAGGTACATAAATGTTCCGCCATTTTCCGATTCACAAAACATTGCGTACCGGCGAGGGAAGTGCGTACGGCACTCCCTACGCCCGTTTCCCTTTATGAATCACAATCGACTCGTAACGCCCATATTTGCCTATACATAGTCAAAGAAACGCCCATTCATTCATTCATTCTGACTGACTGCATGAAGAAGATCGCAGGAAATTACGATAGAACAGCTAAAAAAGACATCTCACACCGTGTCAGATTTTGGTTATTTTGGGGAGGTGGAGATAAATCATATTGTTTGGTGGATGCAGTTTGAACCAGAGTAGCAGCATGGAGGTCGGATCGTCACCAACATAAATAAATAAGTGGTCCGAAAAAAGTTAATGACAAAAAAAATACACATAACCTTCCTCAGGCAGTGTGTTTGTACCGGGGACAGGAGACCCCCCCTTGATGAGAAACTAAGAAATGATCGGGGAATCCCTCCGGAGTGGAGTCATGACGACTGGATCTGAATTATTTTTGTTGTATTTGGTGGTTTGTGTTCCAGCTGTCGATCAGCAACTATATATCCATAATCCACCAGTTAAAGGAAATACAATGTGTTGTGTTATATTAGCTGTACAATTTACCACGGTGTTCTTAGTTTCCATACCTCCTGTGTTTTACGAGCGACTTATCAAGTCTTGGCAAACGGCATAAAACACGATTAAACGTGATAGTATATAAAACCATGCTCGTATCTACAACCTATAGAAATGCAAAACGGCGTCAGTTTAGACGTTATTCTGTCCTCCTGCTTACCGCATCATGTATGAGAAAACATTTCATAACATTAACACAACATATTCGAGGTGGTTTTAAATAGCATATCCGTATTTATTTATTTCTCCAAGTTATGTTTTTGTGTGCACTGAGGAGTCTCAAACAGGCGTTTGTTTAATCATTTTAAGATTGGCTTTAATCAATGTTTGAAAATGAATTCTTCATATTTGATAAATGAGAGGTAACATTTTATTTATGGTATTATTTCTACATATTTCTCTCCATTCTTCCTTCTGCCAACGGTGTCGCAGTTTCTCG